TTAGTAAAATGTCTGGTACATAGTAGGTGCTTAATAAATGTTTACTGACTGATTAATTTGGCTTTCCAAAGTGGTGCACTGCAAGACTTTTAAATAAATAGTTCGTATTAAAAGTAATGTTGTTTGATAACGATTAAAAAAAAAAAAACAAACCAAAAACCCTTCACTCTATTAGTACCACCAGAACCTATTCCAAAGCTACTGTTGAGGTGCTGGGTATTTCTGAAAACAGACGCAAAAGAAAAATGTGGTTCCTTCAGTCATCACAGAAGCAGTGACTTCATTATGCAGTTTGTTGCCCTGTGTTTATTATAAAGTCTTAATGTCACAGTATCATAAGTTGAAAAGAGAAGTATAAGAAAGTTGTGTCAGTATTAAAGGAAAAAATAGCTATTTGCATGTACCTGCAGAAAGGTGAGAACAGGTATGATCTGATGCAAGAGTACAATGTTGGCTCATCCACAACGCAACATAAAGGCCTAGAAGGACACATGCTCCAATCATTCACTAATTCTCAGTCAAATAAACTGACTGAATGGCCCTGGCCTACATCAAAGCCAGAGCAGCTGGACCGTGTTGGATCTAAATGTTTTTTATTAAAGCAGTTGGACAGGGCCCATTTCTGGCTCAGTGTTGATTGCAAAGGTAAGAGAATTGAATATGGAAATGCAGCTGACAGCCTTGTAAACATGTTCAAGCTCACCCTGGCATCAGCCAGCTAGACAGACGAGGTGAAACAAAAAAACAAAAAAGTCTGACCAAGAAGCAGCAGAAAGACTTTTGGGTTTTTAAACATTTAATCGGTAAGTAGGATCCTCTGAACTAAAGTACAACGCTGATGAAAGTCCTGTCCTGGACATGTTTGCCAAATGATATCCTTCCAGAAGCTGGCGAATCTAGGAAGACTTTGGTATTGTTGTCAATGAAGATATGCCGCATGCAATGTTAGGCTCAAATCTAACAGGCTCACAATAAGCTTCACTGTCTAGTCAAATGACTGGAACATGAAGTCCTGGAGCTTTCAAAGGGAAAAAATGTTTATTTATGGTGTATAAGGTGTGGAAGTATGTGAGAAAGCTCCTTTTCATGTATTTCATATGTAATGATAATTACTGAAGATCATTCAAGCCCCAGTAAGGGCCAAAGCCTGAACTAATCAACCAGAAAAGGCACCCTGACATAATAGATGCTTTGCTCCGCTCTCTGAGTAAACCCAGAATGCCCTTTCCTGTGTCAGCAACTACAGGCCTGAATGAGGCTGACCAGGCGCATCTTCTGTTCGTGACCACGACAGGCTGCCTGGGACTGAGCACCATCTTCAACAGTGGGACTTTTTCTTATCTTGGTATCCTACGGACATATGCTATGTAGAGGAAACAGAGACATCCCAGGACTGTAATTTCAATCGACATTTTGTCACTTCTCTTATTGTATTTACAACCTATTCAACTAAGAAACTTCCTTTCTCATGCTATTGCTAAAAACATATGGAGGCTATAATTTTTGACATCCTGATTCAGGATTGCTCTAAGAATATAAAATATCTTCCACAAATTGCTTATCTGAGTCAGAATTATCTTCTGGCTCCCGTCTATTACATGTAACCTGCTACCTTAAGGGAATAAACAATATAAGTATGTATCACCTAGCTTGTTTTGCCTCTTTTAACCAAACTTCCAGGTTCACAATAATAATAGCAGTCCTAGCTAACATTTATACAGTGCTTTCAGGTTTGCAAAGTTATTTGAATTTATTATCTTGTTTTATCCTCACAACAACCCTCAGAGACAGATGCTATTATTATCATCCTCATTTTACAGATGAGGAAAATGAGACAGACAGAGGTTAAGTGACTTGCCCAGGGTCACACAGCTAGTAAGTGTCTGAGGCTCGATTTGAATTCAGATCTTCCTGACTCCACGTTCAGCAATCTACTGTGCTACTTACCTGCCTCGTTACCCTCCCTTTAAAAAAAAAAGGGATGTTAATGGTTTTGTACCAATAATAAAAATAAACATTAAAAAATAGTTTTTCATCATTTTAAATGTATGCTTTGTACATGTTTTATGATATGCATAATACATTTGTTTTTATTCATCAGTCATTTTTCAGTTGTGTTCGACTACGTGACCTCGTTTGGGGTTTTCTTGGCAGAGATATTGGAATGGTTTGCCATTTCCTTCTCCAGCTTACTTTACAGATAAGGAAACTGAGCAAACAAGCTTAAGTGACTTGCCCAAGGTCATACAGCTGGGAAGTGTCTGAGGCCAGATCTGAACTCAGGAAGATTAAGTCTTCCTGACTCCAAGCCCCACACTCTATCCACTATGTCACCTAGCTGCCCTTAATATATTTGTACACGTATATACTTTAGAAGTAAATACTCATGTATTAGGATGTATGCTCAAATCTTTTTTTTTTCACTGATGGGAGTGCACCATTAAAAAAGTTTAGAGACCACTGCTTTAAAGAACAGATTTAAGGAGGAGAGAAGAAACCAGAGGTGGGTAAACTGTGAGGAGGCTGCTATTGCAATGACAATAATAGCTGCCATTTATACAGTGCTAGGTGGGTTCTCTGTAGGAAAGCTAACTCAAATTCTGATGAAGGAGACAAAAAACTTCCAATACACAAGACCTTAACAAGGGGAAAAAAGTCTTACGTATTAATAAAGCCATGTACAAATGTGTTTGTGCATGTACGTATTTTATGGCAAGCAATATGAATTCATTTACAGTTCCCAGAGTGAGCACCTCCAAAAGTAAACACATCCTCATACACATCATAAGAAAGGCTCCCAGACACGACAAAGCAGCCACATGAAACGAACTGGAGCTTTCCTAGTTCGACACACCTTACAACAGCAGGCGATTGCAAAGATGGCAAGAGAGTGCCAAGAATTTGGCCGGGATGTTCTTAGAAGGAAGAGAATTCATGGAAGGGTGGTACAGCCAGGCTCTGGAAGCATTCATGAAAGCAGCCCTGGAGTCAGAGGGTCAGCCTGGGATTAAATCCTGCCTCTGACTCTGCCAATGAGGAGTTGGACATTTTCCATCATCTCTCTGGGCTTCGGTCTCCTCCAATGTAAAATAAGGGGACTAGAATTGAAGGCTTCTTAGGCCCCTTCTAGTTCCATGGCTCTAAGTGACATCAGAAAGCAAAGATGAGATCTCGTTCCATAGCAGAAGGCAAAACAGCCCCAGGTGGCTTAGTGGATGTTTTCAAAGTAGAAGGAACACGACACAAAGGTTCAAAACAAAGAGCCAATTTTCTCTAATGATTTATAATTCCCAATTGGTATAGTGGGGGTAGAGTAAGGAAGAAGGGAGGGCGGGAGCCATTGGTGTAGGGCTATTTCTACTACCAACAGTCTAAGGCAGGCCCCCAATACCACCAATTTGGATTGTGGCAATAGGTTATTAACTAGTTCTTCCTCTAGTGCCTTCTCCAATCCATCACAAAAAGAGGTCTATTGGTGGCACAGGCATAGAAGATCTGAGTTCAAATCCGTCCCAACACTTAACTTTGTGACTTTCAGCAAGTCACTGAACTTTTCAGCCTCAGTGTCCTTATTTGTAAAATGGCGATAATAATAGCACTTACCTTACAGGTTGTTGTATCAAATGAAGCTATGCATACATATACGCATATATATACACATATATACATACACAAATGAGGCTGTACATATATGCATGTTTGTATATACATATACTCATTTACATATATAACTTCGCAAGCCTTAAAGTGCTACATAAACATTAGTTATTAACATATTCATCTTGCTTATGCTTAAATCTAATCATATCCCCTTCTCTGCCCAAAACCTTTTACTGACTTTCAACTGTCTATTCAGAAAAATTCAAACTTTTTAGCCTTGGCAATCAGAGCCCTCCCTAAATTGGTATCATCATACCTTTTCATCTCATCCTCCTGAGAGGATCATTATTGAATCGCTAAAGAATTTTTATGAAGTGCTTATTAAATGAAAAGCACTGTGCTATGTGCTGAGCATTAAAAGACAAAAGTAAAATGACATCTTTATGGAAAAGAGCAGGAAGAAACTTTGTGCTAAATGTGAGATTTCATTGCTTTGAGGAAATTCTCAGTGTGAAAACTCCTTTCACCAATGAAGACTAGTGAACAATGTGCAATTTTAAACCTTAGAGAGTCACCTGAGGGATTAAGGGATTTGCCTGTGATCAAACAGCCAGTTAAGTGTCAGGGATAAGAGTTGAAATCAAGCTGTCTTGACTCCAAGACTGACTCTCTATAGATTTACACTACATAGTCTCTCAGAAATGACCCTAGGCATTATAATTTTCACTTTACAGATGAGGAGTACAACACCTAGAGAGGTTAAATGACTTGCCCAAAGTCACATGGATAGTAAGTAGTAGGTGTGGGATGGGAGCCCAGTACCTGACTCCAGGTTTAGTGCTGTCTTCTACAGTCTAACTGCTTTTCATACATGTACTATCTTCTAGACAAATTATTCGACAAGTCCCCCTAAAGCCCCATTCTGTCCTGCCTCCCGTATTTTGCCCACGGTATTCCCTAAGCCTGTAACATCCTTCCCACTGCCATCCATGTCTAATAAAATCCTACCATTTCTTTATATCACTGCACAAATAGCCTCTCCTCTATGAAGACTTCCCCAATCCCCAATGCCCTCATCCCTACCAGATAATATCTTTCCCTACTTGGAATTCACATACTTCCTACTGTACAGCTCATACAATTATCATATGCATGTGTGTGTGTGTGTGTGTTATTTGTGTTATATTTTTTCCTCCTTTTTGCCCCCATGTGAGCTATAAGTCAAGAAGCATCTTGGATTTAATCTTCTCAAGCACCTAATACAATGTAACTCCAATTGTACCTAATGACATTTAATAAGTATAAACAAGAAGGATAGAAAGGATAGGGTCATTTTCCACTCTCAAAGCAACAATGATGATGTAGTTGGTGAAAAAAAAAATCTAACACCTTGACTATTCACTATTTAATAAATGATGAATTTGACATCTCTCCATTATAACAATCCTATAGTTCACCTCTAACATGAAGTCTCTGATAAAGAATGAACCATATTCATTACATTTATGGAGATTCTCCTCCAAAACAACTATTTGATCCACAAGGTACTCCTCTCAAGGCTTTCCCAAACACATTATATTCAAAGGGTTTCTCTCCAGCACAAAATGTCTTATGGTCAACAAGATATGCAGGTTATTTGAAAGATATCCCACATTCATTACACTGGAAAGGTTTCTCTCCAGTATGAATTCTGTTATGTGCATTAAGGTTTCCCTTCCGGCTGAAGGATTTCCCACATTCATTACATTTATAGGGTTTCACTCCAGTGTGAGTTTTCTCATGTGTATTGAGGTTTCCCTTCCATCTGAAGGCTTTTCCACACTCTTTACACTTATATGGTTTCTCTCCAGTATGAATTCTTTGATGTATATTAAGGCTTCCCTTCTGGTTGAAGGCTTTCCCACATTCATTACATTCAAACGGTTTCTCTCCAGTATGAATTATTTTATGTGTTTTAAGATGTTCCTTCCGGTTGAAAGAGTTTCCACATTCATTACACTTATAAGGTTTTTCTCCATTATGAATTCTTTGATGTTGCATAAGAGATGAGGTCTTCCTCAAACCTTTCCCACACTGATTACATTCAAGGTGTTTCTCACCAGTATGAATTTTCTTATGTTCTTTAAGGTATCTACGCCATTTGAAAGATATTCCACATTCATTGCACTGAAAAGGTTTTTCTCCAGTATGAATTCTGGTATGAGCGATGAGGCTCCCCTTCCTGCTGAAGACTTTTCCACATTCATCGCATATATAGGGCTTCTCCCCAGTATGAATTTTCTTATGCGTATTCAGGTTTCCCATCCAGTTGAAGGCTTGCCCACATTCTTTACATTTATAGGGTTTCTCTCCAGTGTGAATTCTCTGGTGTGCATTAAGGCTTCCCTTCTGGCTGAATGCTTTCCCACACTCATTGCATTCAAATGGTTTCTCTCCAGTATGAATTCTTTGATGCTGTATAAGGGATGAGCTTTTCCTGAAGCCTTTCCCACATTCATTACATTCGAAATATTTCTCTCCAGTATGATTTGTTTGATGTTGAATTAGGTATTGATTATTCCTGAAGGTTTTTCCATATTCATTACATTCAAATGGTTTCTCTCCAGTATGAATGATCTTGTGTATTTTAAGGTTTCCCTTTCGACTGAAGGCTTTCCCACATTCTTTACATTTATAGGACTTCTCTGCAGACTGAATTCTTTGGTTTGCAGTAAGGCATGAGTTAATGTTGGAGGCTTTGCCACATTCGTTACATTTACATGCTTTTCCTTGAGAATGTATTCTATGGTAATAAATAAGGTTTGAGCGGTAGCTGAAGGGCTTTCTGCATTTATTATACTTAGACATTTTCTTGCCCAAGGAAATTTTATTATGTTTAATTAGTTCTGAAAACTGTTTAAAGTTCTTTCCAAGTATATCATATTTATAGGGGCATTTTCCTACAAAACCTCTTTGCTGTGTATCAAAAATTGACCCTAGGCTGAGCTTTCTCCACAAAGTATTATCTTCATGAACACTTGGTTCATTAGAAGTTTTTCTGTGGGTGACTGCTACTTGCCTGGACTGTCTCTTTTGGTTGCCTTTCTGCCTCTCTAACCTGATGTCACAATTCCAAGTTTCTGTCAATTTAGAATCCTGCGGACCATTCCTTGTAAATCTCTCGCTAGATGACTCTCCTGTAGAAATACACTGCTTTAGAGCTGACTCGGTGGTTTCGCATCCCATCCTCTGACCAAGGGAACCTAAAAGAAACAAAGACCTGTCAATACCCATTTCCTTCTGTGCTGGAAAAAAGGAAGTCGCTTGTTCCAAGTTCTAGATTTTGTCTCTTCATTCAAGGAGAATCAATGACTGATCTGGAACAGCCAAAACACTGTTAAGTAGGAACTGAAGTCCTTAGTAAGTGAGGTCAGGACACCTAGTCACCTAATTGCCTAAATTTTCAAAAATGGAAAATAGGTTCATTCTAGAAACTAAAGACAGTTGAACCTGAAGTCAATTTCTAACAAAATTTAGAAACCTCTTGTCAAACAGATGTCTTGTATGCCATCAGAAAGAAAAGTATGGATCCATAATACTCAGGACAATTTTTAAAAAATAAGTTTTATTGATACCTTTTGTTTTTAACAACACAGACATTTCTGGAAATGCACTCTCCCTCAACCCCCTTCCCAATTATCACACACAAACTGAATCCTCTTTCACAACCCAAAGTATATGCAACATTCTGTCCCTGCCTCTTTATTGACAGCAGAGAGGTAGGATTTCTTATTTGTTCTCTGAAACCAAGATTGATCATTACAATTACTGTGAGTCTGGCGTCCTATCTATATTTTTTTTTCCTGGTTCTGCTTATTCATTGTGTGTCCATTTATATGTGCCTTAATATATTTCTTTGAATTCCTCCTCTTTGTCATTTCTTACAGCATAAAGATAATATTCCTCTGCATTCACAGAACACAATTTCTTCTACTGTTGCCCAACGGTGAAGTGCAGTCACTTTTAATTTTTGGGTAATGCATCACAAAAAGTCATGCTATGGATATTTTAGCATACATAGGGTCTTTCTTTCTTTGATCTCCATGGGACCTCAGTATCAATTTTATAGGAAGAGGTGATGCGAAACCAAGTTCGTTTCTTCTTAGCTAGTGAATAAGAGATGCTGAAATCAAGTGACTAGGTCAAAGGATATGAAAAGAAGTTTTCAAATGAAGAAATCTATGCTATCAATAGCCACTAAAAATGCTCCCAATAACTGTGATCAGAGAAATGAAAATTAAAGCAAGAGAAAAATGATAAATATGGGAGGGACTGAGGGAAAACAGGAACACTAATATATGGCTGGTGGAGTTATGCCAGAGGGTCTAGCCCCTCTGGTGAGCAATTTGGAATGATACCCTAAAAGTGATTAAATTGTGCATTTCCTCTGAACCAACAATACTATTAGTCCTATATCCTAAAGAGATCAAAGAAAGAAGAAAAGGACCTATATGTACCACAGCACTTCCAGCAGCTCGTTTAGTAGTGGCAAGGAAGTGTAATTAAAGAGTGCCCATCAACTGGGGAATAGCTTTACAAATCACCGCAAATGCAATGGAGTACCATTGTGCTGCAGGAAATGCTGAAGAGGATGGTTTCAGGGAAACCTAGGAAGGCTTGTATGAACTGATGCAGAGTGAAGAGTAAAGTAAACAGAACCAAGAGAACAATTTATACTATGATAACAATGTAAAGTGAACACTTCTGAAAGACATTAGGAACTTTGATCAACACAATTATCAGCCATGATTCCACAGGAACAATGATGAAAAATAACACCTGCTTCCTGACAGAGGTGACAGACTTGGTGCAGAATGAGACGTGTTTTTTGGACATGGTCAATAAGAGAATTTGTTTTGCTTGACTATACATATTTGTTTGGAGGTTTGTTGGTTTGTTTTTTTTTTCAACAGAGGGGGAATGGAGGTAGAATAGAAAGAAAATAAACTGTGGCTAATTGAAAGAAATTTAATTAAAAATTTTTTTTTAAAAATCAAGGATCTGCTTTTTATTGAGCCATTTAACAAAGTCTCTCAATATCTCTTTGTGGACCTTGATGAATAAATATGGGCTGACAGACCACATAGCCCAGTGGACTTGTGGCCAGTTGAATAACCTTATTTATTATTTGTTAATTTTTTATATGAATTAATCCAGAGTCCTAAGGGATTTTGATGAATTGGATTAAGTTCTCTAATTTTATTCCTTAGACACCCATAGCTAGACCTGTTCTCTCTGGTATTTTTATCAACACTTTTAATGGAATCACAACACTTGTCAATTCTGCTGCTGATATAAAGGTATGTGGGATACTTAGTCTATTATAATAATAATTATTGTTATTGAAAGGCAGCCCAGAAGGCTAGCCTTAGATTTAGGAAGACCTGGGTTCAAGTCCTACCTCTGACGTATGCTGTCTATGTGATCTCAGGCAAATTAATCAACCTCTCAATGTCCTAGGCAATTCTCTGAGACTGTAAGTCTAGAGAAGTAGTTCATTTGGACTGATAGACATCATTATTTCACCAGGGAACTCCCTTAACTGATTAAATGGCAGGTCCACAACAAAAAGGAATACTGTTATTATTATCTGTGATAGAATTGGGAATGTCTAGTATTTGTAAAGTTGTTGTAATGTTTGCAAAGCACTTGACACATTATCTCACTTTACTTAACATTAATAGTAACATTCAATATTAACATATTGGATAACCGATCAAGACTTCTTAAAAACTCTTGCTAAAGGAAGAATGAGTCAAAACAAACAGAGTGAAAGCTTACAAGAACAAATGTTAAGTTTTGCACTTAAGTTCAAAACATCAATTCTCCAATTATAGGACCAGGGTTTGGAAGAAGGTCTTAATTAGACCTGGAGACTTCAGCTGACCTCAAGCTATATGACCCAACAGGGTTCTGTGGCCACTAAAACAACACAATTTTGGCAGCATCTAGGCTGCATAGCGTGTAAAGCACTTGGATGAACTGAGTTCAAATCTCGCCTCAAACACTTCCTCTCTGTGTGACCCTGGGCAAGGCACCTGACCTAGCTCAGCTTCAGTCTCCTCATCTATAGAATGGAGATAATACCTCACAGGTTGTTGTGAGAATCCAATGAGATCACTTGGGAAAACCTCAAGGTGCTATATAAATGCTAGCTATAATTATCATTATTACACACAGTGTTTAGATTACAGAATGTAAAAATCTAACTCTGTACTAAGCAGTTCTGCGTGGTTGAGGACACGACAATTTAAGGGAGACTTTGACAAACTGTATGCACAGAGAAACAGACCCTGGGCTCTTTCAGGGAGTTGCTAATTGCCCCTCAAAATCAGCCGAAGTGGCTAACTTCACTCTTGAGAGAAAACGTGAACACTGGTGCAGAACACTCATGCAGAAGCCTTCAGGAAGATGGGGCCACTTGGCAATCTGTCCCCACCGTCCGCTGCAGTTGCTGGAGAAAAGAACCCCTCCAAGGACAGGGTAAGGACTCAAGATTTTGTTCCAGCCAGCGTGGAAAGCAACAAGCATGCTGCTGTGATTTACCCGGAGCATCTGCTGAGGGCCTTTGGGCCAAAGCCAAGTGCTCAGGGGAAGGCTGCTCACCCACCCGGAAGACAAGGAAAAGGGGCAAAAGGAGTCCTCCTGAAAAAGATGGAAGACAGGCTTGCAGACTTTTTTTTCTCAAAAGGAGAAGGATAGAAAGATCCAAACCAAAATCCCTGCCTGTGCCAGGAGGCTAGAAGATGGCAGACTGCAGGAGAGAAAGGCACAAGGAAAGGATCACTGAACAAAGAAGATATGCTAAACCATGAGACATTCTGGGCAGAGATCAAAGCCCTCGGGGGCAAAGGTGACATCTCCAGCAGGGCAGCCACCAGATGGGAAGAGGCAGACTGGGGAGATGAAGAGCTGGTTAAGAAGACGGGCTGGGGCTCTTCTCACTTTTTCTCCATGACACGTGCTCAGCACCAACCCTGGCACAAAGTAAGCACTTAATAAGTGGTTGTTGATTGACTTCCGGATCCCAGATTAAACTACCACAAGCTCCTTGCCAGGCGAAGCCTGGTTAGAAGGTATTTGCCCAGAGTCATTAGACTCTAACTAAAGAGGCCAGGGGTTGGTAAAGCAAACACTGCCTATGGGAAGCTAAAACCTAGAGGCCTCTCAGGAGAGTAGCAGCTACCATGGTAGAAGAAAAGAAGCAGCAGCGTTCCAAAATAATTCACAGTAGACAAAAATCTAAGACAGCAGTCATCAATAAAATCCATGGCTTCAGATGTTTATACAGGTACAAGTAAAAGGCAAGGTGGCCTAGAGATAAACTTGATATCACAGCTATCACTGAGAGTTGGTGAGGGGATCCCCACATCCAGAAAGTGGCTTTGGATCAAAGCAAAGGAGAGTAGAGCAGAGCAGAGAGGAAAGCAGAGAATCCTTTCATGAAAGGGATGGACTGGATAGCAGCCAAGGCCTCTTTCAACAGTAAAAGACTGTGCTTCTCTAGTCAAAATTATAAACTGTTTCTGAGAGGAGAAGCATGATGAAGATTGGCTCATTTACTTAGACAGAAGATAAGCAGCATCATATAGCAGTAAAAGCACTTGGCGAGAAGAAACCCTGGATTTGAATACCAAGGTCATCACTCCTAATAGCCTGATGACCATGGGTACATCAAAGTCTCACTGAGTCACATACGAGTCATCTAAAAAATGGGGCTAACACATTCACTACCTCCCTCCCAGATGGAAAAACCCTCTTCTATGAAAGGCACAGATCTCAAAGTAGGTAAGCGGCAATATAATAATAATGATAACAATAATTGTCAATTTAAAATAAGTACTGGGGGAAAAACAGACTAGAGCATTTTAAGAAAGAAAAATGAGAAAAGGGGGAAAATGTAAATGACAGCTTGTGGGATTTGGCAATGAAAAGAGAGCTACCATTTACACAGCACCTACTATGTGCCAGGCACTGTGATAGTGCTTTACAGATATCGTCTCCTCTGACCATCCCAACAACCCTGGGACGTAGAGGTGCTCTTATTACTATTATTCCCATTTGATAGTTGAGGAAACTGAGGCAAACAGAGATTAAGTGACTTGCCCAGGATCACACCACTAGGATTTGAATTAGGGTCTTTCTGATTCTAGGCCTGGCACTCTATCCACTAAGCCCCCTGGCAGAGACAAATTGGAATACAGATAAGACAAGCAAAAGGGTCAGTCAATTAACAGCCTAGTAAATACTTACTGTGTGCTGGGCCCTCGGATTACAAGGATGAAAAGGAGGCAATTCCTCCTCTTGAGAAGCCCGTAGTTTGCCGGGGCCAAGCACAAGTCAGACTGACTCTGGCATGAAAGCACAAGGAAATGAACCACTAAAGAATTAAATATTACTGACAGCAGATGAGGAGAAAGCACAAGTGAGAGGGAGCGGGAAGGGGTGTGACCCAGAGTACAGACCAGAAAGAAGAGGCCCCCATTTCTGTGAGACAGGTAAAAAGATGAGGGCATCTGTGTCAGAAAAGCGATCTGCTGAAGGGAAAGACGAGGGAGGCAGCCCAGGCCCCAGGCCTTGAAGGAGAGCCCTGGGCCAGCATTTCACAGGTAGTAAGCTCACCATCTCTGGCGGCTGCACGATTTTTATCTACTCACCCAGGTAAGTGCTCAGTGAAACTTTGTCCTCTGCAATCCATGGTGTTTCTCTTCTCTCCACCTGGGAAAGTGTACTGGGTTTGAAAATGGGAAGACCTGCTCAATGGAAAAGAAATGGGAATTTCTGAGGTCCTTAGCACCAACCCTGGCACAAAGTAAACCTTAATAAGTGGTTGCTGATTGACTTCTGGATCCCAGATTAAACTACCACAGGCTCCCTGCCAGGGAACACACATACTTAAAACAAGGCCTGGTTAGAAGCTATTTGCCCAGAGTCATTAGACTCTAACTAAGGAGGACAGGGGTTGGTAAAGCAAACACTGCCTATGGGAAGCCTCTCAGGAGAGTAGTAGCTACCACGGTAGAAGAAATAAAGCATCAGTGTTCCAAAATAATTCACAGTAGACAAAAATCTAAGACAACAGCCAGCAATAAAATCTACAGCCTCAGATATTTATACAGGTACAAGTAATAGGCAAGGTGACCTAGGATGGCATGGTTTTAAAGGGGAGGATTTAATCTTAGACTTTTTTCCCTTTAGGCAAAAGAACCCATGTCACATGGACAGAGCACGGTATCAAGGACCTTGTAAGGCTGTACCCTGTAGTATTCCTTAGAAGTGTGGGGGTCAGAGTTGGTTTCATCTTGGGCTCAGAAAATTCATTTATTCTAACACATTCCCTGCTAAAGAGATGGGAACCTCTCCTTTTGTGCCTTTGGGGCCCTACCCTAGGACTCTAGCGGAGAATATCTGACCTAGAAAAAAGGCAGGCAGGAAGTCATAGTTTCCAGGGCAGCACCATGAAGTTGTATGGAGCTTCATGGGGGAAGAGGGAGCAGAAAGATTCTTTGGCATCAAAGGATTTAGGAACTTCTCCATGTTACATGTATTCATTAGAATATTTCTTTACAACCAGTCAGAACTCAGCAGAGCAGTTCAGACATCACACTGCCTTTAGGAAGAAAAAATGCAGACACGTGCAATGGACATATGATGATTCATGAGAAAGAAGCTGTCCGTACCAAGGGAGATGAAGTTTTCGTAGTTCTCCAGCATCACATCCCGGTACATGTCCTTCTGAGCAGGCTCCAACAGTCCCCATTCCTCCTGCGAGAAGTCCACGGCCACGTCTCGGAATGTCAATGATACCTGAAATATCACAACAGGCCGCTTACCAGGGACCAGACTTCTGTGTGGTGAGACATGAATCCGGCAGAATATGGAGAGAGGGGGAGCGAGGGGCTCTCACAGCAACAAGAGTTCTGAGTATTCCATGTAAAATATTTCCTGAGGACCCAGGTCTTCTGATCATCATTTTAAACTGTATTTTATATTGTAAAGATAAATTTATCCCAGTAAATTCAGGAGTAAAGTAAGGACAAGTATGATGAATAACTGATAGAATTTATAGGGAATCGATATAAGTTTACAAAGACTCTCCAATAGACAGAAGATATGCCTGGCTCGCATAAAACAACAAAGAGTAAGTCAGTGCTTTGAAAATTATCCAGCATCACCGATCATTCACTTCTCCCAACACGCACACCACAACCCATCCAGGCTGCCCAGTCTGTGAGCCCAATCCAAGCTCTCCCCAAACCCCTCCCAAGGGGGCCCACCCACCATGCCGAAGGCCTTCCTCGACCTCTCCCACCAGGCTCCAAGGGTACCAAAGAGCACTCTGGCTGCCCGGCTGCTCTTCCCACTGTGCAAATGCATGTCAGAACCCCAAAAGCAGGCAGCATAATCTAATCCCATAGGAGAACCTGACCTCCAGCACTCCCGGCCCCTCTGTCCAGCTGTCTTCACCATGGGGAATCCCTCCTACTGCAAGCGTGGCCCAGCGTAAGACCTTCTGGGCCTCCTGGGATTTGGCCCCAAAACCCTTTCCCTGTTCTCTCACCCCAGGGACTCTCAGATTTGTAAACTCCATCACAGGACCACAGATTGAGAGCTGGAAGAGACTGCAGAGGCCCATGGCTCCAGATCCATCATTCTATAGATAAGGAAGCTGGGGCACAGAGAGATTAAGTGACTTGCCCAGGGTCACATAACTAGTAAGGGCCTGAGGTAGGATTTGAACCCGGGTTTTCTGACTCCCAAGTCCCGCACTCTACCCATTGCACCACAGCACCTCAAAGTGGGAATTCTCATCTTCTGCCCACCTTGAACCTTACAAAGAATCTGAATTCTTCAGCTTTAGGGTGACCCGTCCTGACTGGGCCCCTGGTTACAAATGTAAGGGATGAGCAAGGACTTGAAAACACCTTCATCTGCCCTCCTCGTTCATCCGCTGACCTCCCGTCTGACTGCTTCTCTGGATGGGTTATCTCCTTCCTCTCTGACATCCCAGGAAGCTTCTTCCAGGACACCAGTGAATCCCCAGCCCGAACATCCTGGCCCGTAGAGGATCCTCCCAGAAGGACTCTGGTCAGGAGACGGTGGGGGCCATACAAAACCTGTCTCCATGACTCCTCAGGCATGCGAGGCCCTGCCCAGGGCAGGTGCACCATCTGTGCCCTTGGAAGCAATTGCTGGGCCTTTCCTCTCCAACACCCACATTCCCTCTTGGTCATATCTGCAGCTACTGAGGGTTCCCCAGCAGTGACGCTTCTGAGGCGCCTCCTTGTCAGTGTCAAGATTTCCTCAAAACTGTAAATGCCGTTAATCCAGTGTGAGGTATAGGAAGACCCAAAGCGAGGAGCAGAGAGCCTGAGGAGACAAGTCTGTGCATAAAGGTCCAGCAGGCTTTCACCTTACTTGGCATGGATAATTCCTTCTTGTCCTTGGCATTAATGTCCCCTGACCTTAGCACAGAAAGACCAGCTTGTATACCTCAAAGAACATTGGATTTGGAGGGAGGGTACCTGGGTCTGAACCTGAGCTCTGTTATTATTAGCTGTGCAATCCTGGGCATGTCATTTGGCCTTGCTGGGACTCTGTTTTCTCTGAAAACTGAGCATGTTAGAGTAGATGGCTCTAAGGTACCTTCTAAATCTCCTTCTATGGTTCTCATCCATAAGAAGAGACAGGATATTCTGTGGGAGAACAGACTGAGGTTTGGGTCCATTGACATGAATTGAGTGAAGAAAGAAGATGAAGGAAAAGGAAAAGAGATGTGCCCACACTTTGAGCAATGAGATGGAATCTCAGGAAAGACAGGAAATCCTAACTCACCTGGGATCTGGTCATCGGGAACCTGGAAGCCATTCCTTCTTCCTCTGTAATTCTACTGCCTTGGGGAAGGGCGGAGTCTCGAGGAGACAGAACTGAGGGAGGAGAAAGAGGTTACAAGCGGGGGAACCCTGCCTCACTACTGCCCGCCTGCCATGAATTCAAGGAAGTGGGAGTCACACAGAGCCAGCAGGCTCCATTTTGGAAAGGGTTACCCAACTGGTAGATCAGGAGAGTGCCAGAGTTGCAGTTTAATTCATGCTATTCTTGTGGACAAGATGGAGATCTGGGCTTGATATTGATAGGTGAATTAAAAAATGGTTCAGTGGCTACACACGAAGAACAACCACAAAACATTCACAGCATCAATTACGGGATTTTCAGCTATCTATCGAGACATGGTGGAGAAGGGTGTTCTGTATATACACATGCACACATGCACAACACATGTTGACACAAGATATGTATATGTATACATATTTATTTTGGGTCTTTTCTTGGTTCTTAAAAAAAAAAAAAAAAGAAAGGTTGAGTGGATTCCTGCCATATTCTTTTCTTGTTCTATTCATTTGGATTTCCAAGCAGCCATCCAAGAAGGGAGAGTTACATGGCAAGCTCATTAGGCATAATTTATTCCTGAAGCTTCTTTTTCATACAGATTTTCTACTCACAGATTTAAAGTGCTGTATAAATGTGAGCTATTACCAAGGGATGCGCACTACCCAGAATGAGGGAGGCAGGAGTCCTCGGTTCTGAGCAAGCCACACTTGCGGGATCAAGTTCCGTTCTGAGCACCATATCTTAGGAAGGACCTTAGTAAGCAGTGACACTGATGAGGATGCTGATAAGAGAACACAGATGAGACACCCACAGGGGAGAAGACGGGATTCCTATTGGGGGGCAGCTTTGACAGAACTGACTCCGAGGGCCCTCCACACTCTGAGATGCTCGGATAATTATGTCACGTGAGGACCGGCTCAGGGAAGGAGGGATGTTGGAGGTGGAAAAGAGAAGGCTTGGGGGATGGGCTGAGCATGACCGTGCCTGTCTTCAGGTACCTGAGGAGCAGTCACATAAAAGCCAGATTAGTCTGACGCCGCCTGCCTGCGAGGACAGACCCAGAGCAGTGGGGGAACCCCGCAGTGGGGAACACAGGGTCACAGAGTTAGCATGAGATGGGCCCTCACAGGCCATCGACTTCGACTCCCTCAGTTTACTAATGAAGAAACAGGCTCAGGGAGGGAAACGGCCTGCTCCGGGTCACACGGGGAGTGCGTCAGAAGCAGGACGAGAGGCCTTCCTCCCCACGTGGAGGCTGGACGAGATGACCTCGCTGGGATTCTGGGACGTCATGTCAAAGTCACGTCACCTCGTCTTTGGCAGAGCTCTGGATGAGGCCCGGCTGGCTCGCTAAATGTTCACTAACCAGTCTTTAATGAGCTAGCAAAGTGAAGCTCCTCGCTTCTCTGTTCTCTCCCCATTTTGGAAAATTGGGACCAATTCTCCAATCCTGCAGTAGCTCTCCTGTTTCTAGGGGATGTGTGTTTGGGGGAGGGGGAGGAAGGAGATAAGCATTGGGGCTGGCTTTATATGGTGGTCTCTTCTCTCTCTACCACTTCCTTGAGCACCCCCTCCTCAGAAATGCTTCTCTCCCCTTCTCTTCCCACACCAAGCAGCTGTACCGCTCACCTCTCTCCTGAAGCATCAGGCCCGAGTCCTCCATAGTCAGAATCTCCTTGATGACTTTTCCCAAGCTGGGTCTCCTCAGCCAGAGTGGCTGAACTACTGCGACGTCAGCAGCTCCTTCTCATCCGCGTCTGCACGAAAGCTCTGGTGAAAGATCTCAGGGCAGGGAGGTTTCCTCCTAGGATGGACTCGTGCATCCTCAAGCTTGTCCTCCAACACCTTTATCTTCCTACACAGAAGGGGCTCGGGGGCTCCAGGCTGGACATGTGTAGACTCCATCAAGGGCTGCTGGGAACAGAGACAAGGAAGAGTCACCAGGAGGAGAGCAGCACTGCCCATTCCAACTCTGGGCCTTGTACAGACATACTGCCAGGCTCCATCAGCTTAGAAATATGCATGTGGTTTGTTTCATTGATTAGACACTGACCAAATACTTAACACATGTATATACCCATCTTGGGCAGAGAAGAGAGGTGACAGCAACCCTTTCTTCCTCTCAATAAGGAAGTGGGTGAGGGGGAAGAAAGGCTGAACTGGTTAACTAGGCTTAACTCACTAAGCTAAGCTAATTAAGCAGCAAAGCAAGGCCTGAGCAGCTAAGATGGACTGAGGGTGTGATGGAGACCAAGAATAGGCTGGGGAGGAGTAATGCACAAAGAGAGAGATGGAAGGCTGGGAGGCTGTGTTCACACACATGGGAACACATGGATGGGAGGTTCTAGAAAGTTCTGGATCATGGTGGTGACGGTGGTGGTGAGACCTCCCCCAGTGTGGATGGGTGGAGTCAAGGTGTAGATGCTAGGAGATGAGGGAGCCAAGGAAGTTGGAGGGTGGAGGATTTGAGAGACAACAACAGGTAAGTTGATGGCTGAGAGTAAAATGGCAGAGATTGGAGTAGGACAAAAGATGATGAGCCACATGCTGCACTCCCAGAGTTCAAATCCAGCCTCAGGCCCTTCCGCGCTGTGTGACCCTGGGCAAGTCACTTCACCTTGTCTGCCTTAGTTTCCTTGTCTTTAAAATGAGCTAGAGAAGGAAAGGGCAAACCATTCCAATATCTCTGCCAAGAAAACCCCAAATGGGGTCACGGAGACTCAGAACAACAACAGATGTGTGTGCTAAGTACTTTTCCCAAACAACACCTCACTGGATCTTCACAACAACCCTGAGAGGTAGGTGCTATTGCTATCCCCATTTTACAGGTGAGGAAACTGAGGCAAACAAGGTGAAGCGGCTTGCCCAGGGTCACACAGCTAGCAGGTGTCCTTCGCTAGAAATGAGCTTGGGTATTCCTGACTCTAGGCCCAGTGCTCTATCCACCGCACCATAACTGCCTCAGTTTCTTCCTCTGTAAAACGGAAATAGTAGCAGTACCTTCCCCACCCAGCTGTCAAGAAGATGGAATGCACTTTGCAGATGGGGTCCAAGAGCTGTGCCCAAGAGACCTCTGGAGAAGGAGAGCAGTGGAACGGAGAGGGCTTGTTACCAGTGATGTTACCATGATGAACCCTGATGAAGTCAAAGAAAAATTTTATAAAGAACGAGAGACCCTCATCATCAATGTGCCAGAATAGGACAAGCTTCTAATTCTGGGTGACTTTAATGCAAGAGTAGGCTCAGACTACCAGACATGGCAAGGAGTCCTTGGGAGAAATGGAGTTCGAACCAGCAACAGCAGTGGTCACTTACTACTGAAGACTTGTGCATCTTGTGACCTTATCACCAATGCTGTCTTCCATTTACCTAACACAGTAAAACTTTGTAGATGCACCCTCACAGCAAACATTGACATTTAATAGATTGTGTCATTGTCAGCAGAAGAGACAGACAGGATATGAGAGTGACAAACGCAATGTGTGGTGCGGAGTGGTAGACTGATCATAAACTTATCCTTTCCAAGCTAAATACTCACATTCAACAAAACTGGCAGCCTGAGGGCAAGAAGACTTTGTGTCCACAGATTAGAGAGTTCCTCTGAGCAGGAACAGTTCATTGGAGGGAAAGCTGAGCCAACACACAGCTGGTATCAGTAGAGCAGAATAGGAGCAGGCTATTTTCAGAGATTTGGTGTACAATACTGCATTTACTTGCTTTTTGTTGTTTTTTTGGGAGGGGGTGGGAGGGAGGAAATTGAACTTAAGTGACTTGCCCAAGGTTACATGTTTAGTAAGTGTTTGAGACCACATTTGAACTCACATCATTCAGACTTCAAGGCTGGTGATCTGTCCACTGTACCACCTAGATGCCCCCGTTTACTTTCAATATTTTCTCCTTGACCTGTGAGCTCTGGAATTTGGCTATAATATCCCTGGGAGTTTTCATTTTGGGATCTCTTTCAGGAAGTGATTGGTGGATTTTTAGGTCGGCTGGATCGTAAAGTACCCGAAGGGAAGTAAAATGTAATTAGCTCCCCTGGGGAATAGGAGCCAGAGGAGTTTATGGAGCGGGGCACTGAGTGACATGCTCCAATGGTCAGACCCGCGCTGGCCGGAGGCAGGGCCGGCAGCAGCCCGGAGGTGGGCAGGGAAGGGAAGGTGCCTTGTCAATTAGTACACCCCTCTCTGAAGACCAGAGATGTCAAGTGACTCGCCCAAGGTCACCCGGGTAAGAAGCGCAAGAGGGAGAATTCGAACCCACGGCCTTGGATTGCTGCGAATGAAGGAAAAGGGATCCTCGGTCAACACCCCCTGCCCTGCCGCGCCCCGCCCCCTCGAAACACACACCCTGCACCACCCCGCCCTCGCCGCTGCCCGGAGCCGAACACACGCGCACGCACACACGCGCTCACACGCACGTACACACACACTCACCCACACACTCACCCACCAGCTCGCCCTCCAACGTCCAGCTCCCTCCGAGTTATTCTGAAAACAAAGGGATGAAAGCAAGACCCACCGGGAACTGCGCCTGCGCAGACTGAGCCCTGAACTACGACTCCCAGAATTCCTCGCTGCCGGAAACAGCGGGAGGGGCCGCGCACCTGCCGTACGTAGTTGGGTTTCTGGCAATTGGAGTCCTAGTCGGCTCCTTTGAGGGCCGGTCCGTTATCCTTCTACTCGCCCCCTCCCTCCTCATTCTAACCCCTGAGTTCCCTGAATTTGAAAGAATGGACGTAGAGGGCGAAAAGCGCACACTTAGATCTATACTTTCCACAACAGGTCGCGGTAAGGGAGGTGATGGTGGCCTATGATCGGGAAACATCGTCCTCAGTTTAGAAGCCTCGCGAGAATGTGCGCGTGAGTCGCTATGACGTCACCAGCATCCTTCCGAGAAGAGACCTCATGTTTGCTGTGGCATTTGTAGAGCGTGCGCCCCCCCCCCCCCCCGCCGTGGCAGGCTCCTACCTCTTTGATTTCTGTGTTAAAAGTCCGTGTGTGTACTTAATGAATTTTACTACCATCAACCACCATGAATATTTCCTGATGCAAAAAACGAAGAGAATAAATTCACACTTTAGGAATTTGGAATTATGTAAAATAGGGCTGCAGGCCACTAGAAACACGTGGTGCGAATTTGAATAGTGTGATTCATCATTCCTAGCAGTCGAGACCTCATTGCAAGGGGTACAACTTTGCTTACATATTTTTCCAAAAACCTGTGAAACCCAATCAGTCAACAAGCATTTATTAAGTGAGCTACCAGAAATGGCCAACCCAGTTCCTGCCCTCAAAGAGCTCACAGTCTAATGGGGGAGACAGTATATATAGATCAGAACACACAAAATGAACTCAGAGTAGAAGAAAAGAGCCTTAGAGGGGAAAATACTAGCAGCCAAGGGAACTGGGAAGGGCCCTCCAGGAGGAGGAGGAGGCCCTGGAGGTGAATCTCCGAGGAAACCAGGAATTCTAGGAAGTGAGGCTGAGGTGTTATGGTTTGGGAACCCTGAAATGTAAGGATACAGGGTAAGTCCGCCTTGAAAGAATTCAACTACTCAAACCTGCCTTCAATCAAAGTAGTGAGGTTTATTCTAACACCAGTGTGGTGGGCAAGCTTCCTAGTAAATCTGTAGTGTTGTAACACCACCCTGAAATGTATGGGAAAATTCAGGGTCCAGGTCCCATCATCCCATCATTGGGAGAGCATTCCAGAAACAGAGAAGAGCAAGTATAAAGAAATGAGTCTGGTGTGAGGAAGAATAACATAGACCAGTATGGAGGAATTGTAAAGTTTTGGAGGAATGTGTTGAAAGTCTAGAAGAGACTAGGTTGTAAGAGAAGGTTAAATGCCAGAGGGGTTTATTTTTTATCCTAGAGTTAATTGGGAACTCTAGGAGTTTAACGAGTAGAGGTGACAAAGGAAAAGTAACATAATCAGACCTATGGTTTAGGAAAATCACTTTAAAATGCCAAAGAGCCAAGTGAGCAGAGCAGAAATGAGGAAACAGTTTATGCAATGTTACTATCATAGAGAGAAATAATTTTGAAAAACTTTAGAACTCTCATCAAGGCAATGATAAACCAGAAATCCAAAAGAATGAAAATGAAACATGCCACTTCCTGACAGAACGGGAGTAAACTTAAAATGCAGAAAGAACCATTTTCAGATGTGGTTAATGGAGGGATTTGTCTTCTTGGACAATTTAAATACATGTTGAAAAATTAGTTTTAGAATTTTTTTCCCTGAATTGTGGAAGGCAATGAATTGGATAGATTAATTTTGTAAAAAGCAAAAACAAACAAACAAACAAACAAACCATGTTGCTTGGAAAAAATTACTTATTATTTGAGAAAGTCTTTTTTAAATGAAAGAAAATAATTTTCTTGGCTCTGTACAGGATGGATTTAGAGCAAGCTGCAATAGGCCAGGCCAGAGGTGATGAGGGCCTGAACTAGAGTGGTAGCTGTTTGAGTGGAAAGAAAGAAATTGCAATATTTTGCTGCTGTCTGGATACGTAGGGCTGTTGTTGTTTGTCCTTTGTTCTCAAAGAGGACCAGTGATGTCAGGATGCCATGACATGCAAGTGAATTGGATTTAAGTGAGGGAAGGCTTTGCAAAGTCACACTGTCTCCTCCAGAACCATCTGGGTCCAGTGGCCAGATATATATCAAGAAGACTGGAGATGGCCCTGGATACAGTGGGAGACAAGTCAAGGTCTTTAACAGATCTCAATTTGACTGAGGCAATGCCCATTCAATGATTAAGGCTAGGTAAGAAATGAGGCAGAGGATGGCCTCTTTACTTAGTTCCAAAAAAAAAAAAAAAATTTGATCTGGAGGGAAGACCCTCAAAGTTTCTGGACAAAACAGAAACAGTTGCTGTTTACATTCACTCTCAAACAATGACCAAATGGGGCTTGGCCTGGGACCTATTGTTGGCTAATCAATGTAAGCCAAAGTGATTTGTATTTAAGATCTAGTCCTTAAGAAAAAAATCTAGCCCATAGACCCTAAGATATCTTAGGAGCTTTCTGCAATCAAAATTTACATTCCTTCGGGCAGAGCACCCACAAGTAAGGGTATGATACCCTATGTGGACAGAGGGAAGGGAAAGGAAGGAAGGGAGAGAGTGAGGGAGGAAGGAAGAAAGAAAGAAAGAAGTTGCTGTCTTGCCCAACTGGCAAGTTCCAGTTGGGTGCCCAGTGGGGCAGCTCCTCCTACCATTCATAGAGGTTCTTGTTTGTTCTTCGTTCTGGAAGAGGACCATGATATCAGGAAGGTGATGCTGTGACATGCAAGTGAATAGGATTTAAATGAAGCAGGGCTGGGCAAAGTCACGAGCCTCACTTTCTCCTCCAAAGCCAGCTGGGTCCAGTAGCAACATATAGATCAGGACATGACTGGAATCTCAGTTTGACTGAGGCAATACCCATTCAGTAAGAAAAACAAACAAGAGAGGGAAAGAGGATGAAACAATGGTTACCTCAAAGGGTGTGCTCAACAGTAACATAGTAGTAACAAAATTGCCTTGTTAATGTCCCCCCCCCCCCCGCAGACTATTTTTGTTATTTTTTTCAGTAAATTTTATATGTTTTATTGATACTTTTTTTTCATTTCTATCCTTACACATTAACCCTCTGCCCCTAGAGTCCCTATGATTAGAGAGCAGAGCTGTGAGCCCCTCCCAGAACCTATGCCAGCCATTTCTTCATTTTCCACCCAGCTGCATTCTTTTGACCTCATTGTGCCCCTCTGTTGGACACCTTTCTTCTCCCTTCTCCCTTCAGCTTCCTTTTCTGTATTGTCTTCCCCAGTAGATTATAAACTCCTTGAGGACAGAGACTTTCTTTTTTGTATTTGTCTCCCAGCACTTAGCACAGTGCCTATCACATAGTAGGCATTTAATAAATGTTTATTGACATTAACTCAATCCTCCACCCCGCCCCAATTCTTTTTTGCTTGTAACCTTTTGATTTTCGTCCTTGAATGTCTTTGGGTTGATTTTGTTTAGCTGGATATCTTTCCAAGCTTTCTTTGCACTCTTCTTGTTCCTCACTGTTTCTCTTTACGAGATAGTACTGCTCATAATCTTCCTTCATAAGATTTTATGAACAAGTATGCTAGTGTTTGGCATCTTACTCTTTCTCTTATTATCAGGCTTCCAGCCTTATTCCACTAAAGCTTCTCTCTCCAAACTTACTAATGATCTTTTAATTGCCAAATCCAATGGCCTTTTTTCAATCCATGTTCTCCTTGACATCATTTGCAGCCTTTGACACTGTTGATCACTTGATATTCCTTAATATTTTCTTCTGGGGTGGGGCAGAGGGAAATGGAAGGGAGGGCAGATTAGGGGAAAGGGTATTCAGAGTGCACGCTGTCTTGGGGTTGGGGAAGGGATGAGATGAGGAGAAAATTTGGAACTCAAAAATCTTGTGGAAGTGAATGTTGAAAATTAAAAATAAATAAATTAATGAAAAAAAAATTTCTTCTCTCTAGTTTTCCCGCCACTACTCTCTCCTAGTTTTACTTCTACCTAACTGTTCATTCTCTGTCTCCTTTGCTGGATCCTCCTTCAGATCATGCCCTCTAACCATAGACCCCTCAGAGTTCTTTACTGGACCCTCTTTTCTTCACCTTCTATGCTACTTCACTTGGTGATCTCATCAGCTCCTGTAGATTTAATTACCAACTCTGTACTGATGATTCTCAAGTCTACTTATCCTGCCCCAGTCTTTCTGCTGACTTCCCATCTTGCATCTCCAACTGCCTTTCTTGAACTAGATATCCAGTAGACATCTTAAACTCAATGTGTCCAAAAGAGATCTCATTATCTTTCCCCCTAAACCATCCCTGGATGAGAAGGTCTGGCATGCCAGGCCGGGAGTCAGGGACTCTTCATGAATTCAAATCTGACCTGACACTTACTAGCTATATGACCCTAAGCAAGTCACTTAACCATGTTTGCCTCAGTTCCTCATCTGTAAAATGAGCTGGAGAATGAAATGGCAAACTATTCCAATATCTTTGCAAAGAAAACCCCAAATGGCATCACAAAGAGTCAGACACAACTAAAACAATTGAACAACAAACCATCCCCACCCCTCCTACCTTTCCTGTTACTGTAGAGGGTAACACCATCCTCCCCACTCCGACCCATCTTCCATTCAGTCACTAAAGTTATTTTTCTAAAACACAGGCTCAGTTATATAACCCTCCTACATAATAAACTCCAGTGGCTTCCCATTGCCTCTAGGAGCAAGTATCACCAGACATCTTGATTCTGACCTGCCACTGGGCCAAGATGACTCTGGAAGAGGGAGTGAGGCTGGCGACTTTAGGCAACTCTGCCTCACTTAAATTCAATTTATGCACGAATCAAAAGACATCACCCATATCACCAAGGCTAAAGTGGAGGGGGAGATGATGTATGTTTTTTTTGTTCATAGATAATTGTGTGGCGCAGTGCATAGAGCACCGGCCCTGAAGTCAAGAGGACCTGAGTTCAA